TTTTGATTGATCCTTTAACAAAGTAATATTGAGAGATTTGTCTTCAATCTCACTAACTCTCTCTTCCGTTGACTCAGTTTTACTCCCTTATCCTTTCAATGTGTTATTTATTTCTGAAATCTTTGCATTAGTAGAAATAGAATAGAATCTTAGATTCTATTTTCTGTTTTTGTATGGTTTCTAATTTTTCATTTATTTTGTTATTTGCTGTTGTTTTCCTAAGTTCTGTCTGTGTTTTCCTTAATTTTGTCAGAATTTTCCTTGATCTGTTTCTCATTCAGTTGAAGGCACCTAAATATAATTCTTTTGAATTTCTTGTCAGGGAGTTCCAATGCTGTTTATTCCTCAGGGAGGTTTTCTGGGTCTGTATTCTGGTCCCTTGTTTGTACTACTCTATCTTGCTTCTTTGTGTGAACTGGGATTGTCAGTTGTCTCTGAGACTTAGTGGTATTTTGTAATTATATTTAATTGGTGATTGTATGTTGGTGTCATTTGCCCAATTTTTTTTTCCACTTAATTAACTTTGATATGTCTGAGTGAGTGAGGCTTATGTGCTACTCTGCACGATAGTTTGGCAGCCATTAGGCACTCATCACCTTTCTCCTGGTGGGTATGATAGAGGTTGAGCATGTGTGCACAGATCTCTGTTAGCTGTTCACATAGAGCAGTTGAGGGCAAATTGGGCTGGCACTGTCCAGTATCTGCCATTGATCAGTTGTTGTTGAAGCCAGTGGTGGCACTTGCCCAGTGGATGGGGCTGTAGGAGGTGTAGGTATGGTTGGGTTGTGTGGTTGGGTCATGTGGATGCAGTTGCTATCTCTTTCCTGGTTGGACCAAGAAACAAAAAAACACATCACCACCAAAAAACAAAAACAAAAAATCCCGAGAAAACAAATAATACAAATGGCACATACAAACAGCAACAACTGCAAAAGGAAAAAGCAATAAAGGAAAACATTACTAGTGAAGGCAAAAAAGAAAAGGAAACAAAAGAAATACTATCATGGGAGGGACAGTAAGAAAAAGGAGCAAGAGAAAAAGAATAATAAAGAAAAAATGGGGAAAATGCAAAAAAAAAAAAAAAGAAAAACATGCATTGGGGAGAATGAAAAGAGAAAAAGAAGCAAACCATGAAAAGAAAAAGAAAAGAACCAGGGAAGGGAAATAGAAAAAACTAGAATGAAAAAGAGAAATAAAAAAGGAATATTTTGAAAACAAACAAATAGACAAAACCAGAAATAGGTGAGGCAGGGCACCCAGGCTGTGTTTCTGTTGGCTGAGTAGGCAACAGGGAGCAGGGTAACTTGTCCTGCTACTAGTTACTCCCTACTCAGAATAGAATTGGGGGCATGTCACCTGATCTCAGATGAGTTCCTGTAGTCCCAGATGTCTAGGGACAGAGCACTTGGACCTGGAAAAAGTTCCCGCCAGCTCACATGGCCATAGGAGCAAGGCACCTGGTTTCTGAAGGAATTCCTGCCTGTTCAGAATGCAGCTGGGGACAGGGAGTCGAAGAAATTCGTACCTTCTAGAAAGGCAGCTGGGCGCAGCACCCCTACTCCCAGAAAAAGTTCCTGCCTACCCACAAGGGCCCTTGGTGTAAGGCAACTGGTCCCAGCAAAAGTTCTTACCAGCCCAAAATGCTGCTGGGAACAGGGCAGCTGATCTCAGAGCTAGTTCTTGTCTACCTAGAAAGCAGCTGGGGACAGGGGATTTGATCTCAGATGAGTTCCTGCTGCTCTAGAAAGTGTCTAGGTGCAAGGCTCCTGGGCCCAGAAAAAGTTTCTGCTTATCCAGAAGACAATTGGGAGCTAGGTACCTGAATCCAGAAGGAGTTTCAGCCAGTGCAGGACATCTAGTCCTAGAGAGAATTCCTGCTTTCTCAGAACGTACCTGGAGCATAGTTTTCTTCCCAGAATAAAAGTTGTCATCCCAAATGCTGGCTGGGTGTAGGTTACCTAGTCTCAGAAAAAGTTCCTACTGGCCCACAATGTAGCTGGAAACAGGGCGCTTAGTGCTGGGACCAGTCCCTACCTGCCCAGAAGGCAGTTTGTTTCAGGGCTCCTGGACCTGGATGGAATTCCTGCCAGGTCAGTGGGTGGTGTGGATGATGGCTACAACTCTGTTCGCTGAGAGGGTATGGAGTACAAGGGGAACAGGGGGAATATCACACTTTTCTACTCATCAGCCACCAGTGTGGTTGCCTGTGCAGTCCTCAGGAAGCAGAGCTGATTCTAAGGTTGTTGCCTGGATCAGAATACCACTTGAATATTCAAAATGGCCACACCATCAGTCCAGCTGACAGCCCACTGCTCCATTTTATTCAGCTCCTTATTCACTGTTTTCATTAAGGTTCTTCTAATTGAAAAATAAAACAAAACAACAAACTATGATTCTGACTCATAGTGACCCCCAGTGGGTTTCTGAGGCTGTAAATCTTTATAGAAGTAGGTTGCCCCATCTTCCTTCTGTGGAACAGCTGGTGGACTTGAACCACTGACTTGCTGGTTAGTAGCCAAATGCCTTATCCACTATGCCACCAGAGCTCCTTTGAAATAAGTTTTTCATTTAAAAAAAAAAAAACACCTCATTGCTGTCAAGTCGATTCGACTCATAGCGACCCCTCCTTGGGTTTCTGAGGTGGTAACTCTGCAGAATTAGATTGCCCGGTCTTCCTTCCAAGGAGTGGCTGGCTGGTGGCTTTGAATCGCCAGCCTTCTGGTTAACAGTCAAATGCCTTAGGCACTACGCCTCCTTCCTTTCAAAGTTCAAGGTTCCAGGATTATCTTCTGTATCTGTGTCAATTGATTTCTCATTTCTTTGTTGTAGAGGGTCTGTGTAGCTTGTCTGCCTATTCTGCCATCTTGCTGGAAATCAAGAGTCAGATTTTTGCCAGCTCAGTTCCAGAGTATGGACTTACTTCATTTTCTTGTTATAGTTCATTGTCTGTTGTTGTTGTTGTTGTTATGTGCCGTCGAGTCGGCCCCGACTCATAGCAACCCCTCCTTGGGTTTCCGAGGCAGTATCACTATGGAAGTAGGATTGCCCAACCTTCCTTCCGAGGAGTGGCTGGTGGGTTTGAACCGCCAGCCGTCTGGTTAGCAGGCAAGTGTCTTAGCCACTATGCTACCAGAGCTCCCAGTTCATTGTCTAGGGCATCCAATAAGGAACCCTGGTGACACAACAGTTAAGCACTCAGTTAAGCAAAAGGTCAACAGTTTGAGCCCACCAGTGGCTGTGCAGGAAATCTGATGATCTGCTCCCATGAAAGATTATAGCCAAGGAAACCCTATGGAGCAGTTCTACTCTGCCATACAAAATCTCTATGAGTCATAATTGACTTGATGGCACACAACAAGTCCACCAGTACATTGTTGAATAGAAGAAAGAGAACAGATTATCTTTGCTTTGTTCCCAGTCCTAGGGTGAAAATAATCAGTGTATGATTGTATATATATTTTGTCCCAATCTTTAGCTCTCCTTTTCATCTTTTTATGTTCAATTTTATTCACTTTCGTAATTTACATACAGTGAAAGTCACTTTTTTTGTGCAATTAATTCAGTGAGTTTGGACAGTTACAAATAGTTTGTAACTACCACCACAATACAGATACTGTTTCATTGCCCTCAAAGATTCCATCATTTGTAGTCAGTCCCAACCCTCCACAGTCAATCCCTGGCAACCACTGCCCTGTTTTCCACGTATATAGTAGTTTTGCTTTTTTCCAGAATGTTATATAAATGGAAACATATAGTATATCTTTTGACTCTGACTTCTTGCAGAATAATGCATTTTGAGATAATCCGTGGTCATGGTTCACATATCGATAGTTCTTTGCTTTTATTTCTGAGTAGTACGATTTCCATAGTATAAGTAGCCCTGATGTGCATACAGTTCAGGGCTTAGTAGATAGGTTTGAACTCATCCAGTGGTTCCATGGGAGAAAGACCTGACGATCTAATTTCTAATTCCATAAAGGCTACAGCCAGTAAAACTATGGGGCAGTTCTGCTCTGTCATACGTGATCACTGTGGGTCAGAATCGACTCAGTGGCATCCAACAACAAAAAACATTTCATGATGTGTATGTATCTGGCTAATTATTTTACTAATTGAATCAAAGAACTATTGGATTCTTTCCAACTTTTGGCTATTGTGAATAAAGCTGCTATATAACGTTCACACACAGATTTTTGAGTGAATATTTAATTTCGGTGTAGATAACTAGATGTTTGATATCTGATCATATGGTAAGTGTGTACTCTTCTTTATAAGAAACTGTTAAGTGCTTTTCCAAAGTAGCTGTAGCATTTTGAATCCCCACCAGTGCTTGAGAGTTCTAGTTTCTCCATGTCCTCTTGCGGGACTTGATATTATCAGTTTTTTATTTTGGACAGTGTAATATGTTGTGTAGATGCTTCTCACTATCATCTTAATTTGAACTTCCCTTATGACTGCTGTTGAGTATGTTTTCATGTACTTATTTGCCATCTGTAACACTGCATTTTGAAGAGCAGAAGATTTTAGCTTTGATGAGGTCCAGTTTATCTACTTTTTTTTTCTCTTATGGTTAGTGCTTTTTGTGTTCTGAAAACTTTCTGAGAATGTTAACTTTGGTATTTCATTAACCTTATGGCTCTCTGAAGCAATTAAAATAAGAACAGGGGAATACTTTGTCTGTATAGCCTCTGAACTATAATAGAATCACCTTCTCATGGTATGAATTGGCAGTTTCAGAAGGAAGGGTAATTCTCATCCTTTATAACTGCTCTTCTTTTTTTCAGATATCAATGGTAGGTGGGCAAACCTATTCCCAAAAGTTATAATTTTTTAAATTAATCTAGCACTTTCTTTTTGTATTAATAAAGGGTAAGAATATTGTAAATTTCACCAGAATTATATAATTATGCCATTATATAATGTAAATAAAATACTTATGCCCCTAGACCTTTAAGAAGAAACTTATAACAAAGTTTAATTTTTGTCTTCTTTTCTTGCAGTGGTGGGATCAGCAAGTTGATTTTTATACTACTTTCTCGCATCATTTGGCACAATTAGTGCCAGAAATTTATTTTGCTGAAATGGACCCAGATTTGGAAAAGCAGGAGGAGAATGTACAAATGTCAATATTCACTCCACTGGAATGGTACTTATTTGGAGAAAATCCAGATATTTGCTTAGAGAAATTGAAGCACAGTGGAGCATTTCAACTCTGTGGGAAGGTTTTCAAAAGTGGAGAGACAACATATTCTTGTAGGTAAGAATTGGAACTTACAGGAATGGTTATAATTACATTTGTGGTACCTATTTCATGATGTACATTTCTTAGTTTACTATTGATAATCTATTTAATGTTACTAAATTAATTTCCTTTTATTAGGCACTTATATGTCTGTTTTAGCTAGAACAACCTGTTTTTGGATATATGACTTGGATTTGAGCAGTTCTTTTTTCTTCTTGTTCTCCACAAATATCTGTGATGTATTTTTTCCTTTTCTTATAATGTAGAAATCCTTTGGGCCAGGTGTCTTTCAGAATTTGAATTTTTCAGATTTTAGAAAGGTGCAGTGGTGCTTATAGTATGTATTATGTAACTTCCCTTGGCAGACTTAGGGGACACAGTAGTCAGTCTATGAATATTCACAGCAGGTAGTATAAATCTGTAGTCTTATGTCAGTTCAGGTTATTTTTTATCCCTGGATGAGATTTGGTGCCAAACCTACCATTGGAAAAAAAAAAAAAAAAAAAAAAAACCACCAACTTTTCCGTTTCCAGGGGTTTTCGGCTAAGGGATTGTGGCCCTGTAGAAGCACAGTAGGAATTTATTGTTGAATTGGAATTTAGCTGAATAAAGAGCACAAGTAGTACGGAAACTGGAAGTAGCTTTAGGCTTTTTTCCGGTGGGGAGAGCAGTTGCCTTAAACATCATGGTATAACCTTTTTACTCCCTGTAGCTGCCTGAACTTTTTTACTTATGGAACTTAGCAGTACTTTCAGTTTTTCCTCCTTTATTAGAGGTAGTTTATGTTAGGAGTGTGAATTTTTAGACTTTATAAATATGGAGAATTGTCTTCAGATATACTGTAATTCCCTATAATTCTAGGTTTGACTGGTTTATGTACAGTTAATAGTGGCACTTTGTGTACTATTTTGCTTTATAGCATAGTAAAGTTCATTTCTCTTCATAGATTTATTTAGCTGAAGCCCAATCAATTTCAACTAAAGTGTAATAGACATTTTTTGTAGACCGCATATCTCAAAATGTCATGGAGACATTTTTTATTGTCACGACTCAGGATTATGCTGGCATCTAGTAGATAGAGGCCAGGGACACTACTAAATATCCTGCATTGCATAAGACAGCCTGCTCTGCTCCTCACCCCCTGAACAATTAATCATGCAGTCCAAAATGGCAGTAGTGCTGAGAAATCTTGTGCTAAATTGATCATGTCTCACTGCTGTCAAGTCGATTTCGACTCATAGCCACCCTGCTGGGGTTTCCGAGGAGGTATCTCCACGGCAGTAGATTGCCCAGTCTGTTCTGACAATTGATCATGTAGATAATTCTTTTTCAGAAAATTACTAGTTAATGTTTATTTGCTATCAGCCTTTTAAAATTTATTTGTTTAGAGCATCCCAATTCATCTCTAAATTTGCTGTTTAAAAAAATCCTTTTTAAAAAAGGAACTCTTCTAAGGAACCATTTAAAAATTAATTCAGCACTTTGTACTGATTTTACATCTTTTTTTTTTTTTTTTTTTGTGATTTGGGTGAAAGTTTACAGAGCAAATTCACTTTCCATACAGCAGTTCACATATACTTTGTCTCATGACATTGACTACAATTTACCCCAGTGAAACAACTCCCCTCCCACTTCCTCCCGATAGTTACTTCTTCTCTGTGTCCATCCCTCCATGCACTCCTGGCCCCTGATAATTTACATCATTTTTAATGTTTCCCTGAAAATGTTGAATATTAGAGGAGAGATTAAGATGCATTGAATTATTTTCATTCATTCAACAAATATTGAGTACTAACTATATGCCAAGTGCTGTTCTAGGTGCTTGGAGCACATCAGTATGCAAAATGAATAAAAAAATCCCTACCCTTATGGTGCTTATATTCTAATGAATCTTATCTTTATTAAAGTCTCATTTACAAACAGTGGGTGTTGATTAAATATATTTAGAAATACGATCAAGTGAGATGATGGCAGACTTTTAAAAAGCTGATAGTTTTCCAGAAAACTAATTTCTAATTTTAATTTTATCATTTGAAACTAAATGAAACTTCAAAGTAATAAGAACGATGAAACAAAACTAAATATTTAAACTTAACATTTAAATATTCCAGCTGGAGGCTAAAACTATGCTTACAATGTTGTCTTTGTTCAAAACATTTTTGAAATTCAGTTTATATTCAGCTGTGCATCAACCAGGAAGATCATTCATATTATAGTCATACCTTAAGGATCAGTGGGAATCATCTAAATTTTGGAATCTCATGTTCAATCTTTTTCAGGGACTGTGCAATTGATCCAACGTGTGTACTTTGTATGGACTGCTTCCAGAATAGTGTTCATAAAAATCATCGTTACAAGGTATGAAAATAGATCCATAAAATCTCTGGATTATCAGAAGTCTGGTAATCACCTAGTCCAAATTCTTCACCAATATTCAAAATTCTGCTATAATAGCTCTGATGGTGAACTTTCAGTCTCCGGTAAACATATCCAGTGATAGGACATCCACTACTTTAAGAGCTCTTTACAATTTTTTCTTTTATTGTGAGATACATCATTTTTGTACAAAAGATTGTATAAAGCATATGACAAGTTTAAAGAATAGCTATTAGTGAACACCTGTAACTGCTCAGGTCATGAAATAGGACATTACCATTCCCTTAGAAGCTCCCCATTTGTCCCTTCTCTGGATCTGGTTACCTTGAGGTAACTTCTCCTGTGTTTTGTGGTAATGGTTTCCTTGGTTTCCCTAGATCATACTGGATAGGTTTAGCCAATATGAACTTTATATAAATTGAATCATGGAGACGTAGTGCCTAAGACATTTGACTGCTAACTAGAAGGCTGGCGGTTCAAACCTACCAGCCACTCCTTGGAAGGAAGATTGGGCAATCACTTCTGTAGAGATACCACCTTGAAAATCCAAAGAGGGATTGCTCTAAGTCAGGATCCACTTGACAGCAGTGAGTTTTTTGGTTTATACCTTCTTTCACTCAGCATTGTGTATATAGCTGTAGTTTGTCTGTTGGCCTTACAGTATTCAGTGAACCATATTGTCTTTATTTATTGTGCTGTAAATGGACATGTAGATTGTTTGCCACTTGGGGTTAGTGTGAATAGTCCTATTTGTATATGAATATTATTGTTTGTGTATCTTTGTACAGTGTTCAGGAGTTTCTCTGGGTTATATATCTAGAATAGAATTGCTCAGTTCTAGGGTATACGGATTTTTAATCATACTTGATAATGTGAAAATGTTAACCAAGTGATAATACCAATTTGTGGGTTCTCCAGTAGTATCAGAATTCCCATTGCTCCACATCCTTGAAAGATTTGCTATTGTTAATCTTATTAATTTTAGCCAATCTGGTAGATCTATAATAGTATCTCATTGTACTCTTAATTAATTTATTTATTTTTCACTTTTGTTGTGATGAAAGCATGCACAAGACATTCACCAACATAACAACTTCCACATTTACAGCTCAGAGACATTGATGACATTTTTCACATTGTGCTATTCTTTTGCAAAATATTTCACCACCTTTAGTGTAACTCAATGTCCTACAAATAAAAGCTTCCACTTTCCCCCTCCCTCCTGCCCCTGGTAACCAGTAATAATCTTATATATATATAGGACCATATCATCTGCAAATAGGGATAGTTTGACATCTTCCTACACACACACACACACATATATATATTTCTAACCTATGTAGGAATTTTCCCTCCCCTTTACTCCCCTCCCATTCCTGGTAACCAACAAAGAAAGTATCCTTCCATATATAAACCTTTCCTTGACTTTTAACAGTAGTGGACTAATAGAATATTTGTCCTTCTGTGATTGACTTACTTCACTCAGCTTAATGCCCTCTAGGTTGATCCACATTGTGTGGTGGTTTGCAGATTTTACATTATTCTTTAGTGTTGCATAGTATTCCATTGTGGTTATCCATTCCTGTGATGATGGACACTTAGGTTGTTTCCATCTCTTTGCTATTGCGAATAGTGCTGTGATGAACATGGGTGTGCATGTATCTATTTGTGTCCTGGCTCTCACTTCTTTTTTTTTTTAAACCTTTAAGACAACTTTATTATTATTTTTCTAATTTTATTTTATTTATTGTGATTTGGGTGAAGAGTTACAGAGCGAATTCACTTTCCATACAGCAGTTCACATATACTTTGTCTCATGTCATTGACCACAGTTTACAATGCAACAGCTCCCCTTCCTCTTCCTCCCCAGAGTTACCTCTTCCCAGTGACCATCCCTCCATACTCTCCTGCGCCCTGAGCTGTCTCCCTGTGCATAAGCAGCCCTTCCTTCTCCCATGATTGTTCTCTTCAGGGCGTGTGTCTACTTGAGGTAAATGTTTAACTCACATGCCTGTACATTGTTTGGCTGGAAACCACAGGTGTGGGTTCAATTCCAGACCTGAAGGGCAGCTAGGGGCCATAGTCTCAGTGGTTCCACCAGCCTCTATTGGACCAGCAAACCTGGTCCCCACCTTCTTTTTTCTTTTTTTTTCTCCAAATGATTTTGAGTTTTGTTCCACATTGTTCTCCCTCTCTATCCAGGATCTCCTACATCCCTTCCAAGTGGATGACAGTGGTAGCCGGGCACCATCTAGTTCTTCTGGTCTCATAGTTGTATAAGTTGTAGATCAGATGGTGTACAAGTCGCTAGGACTGATCATTTCCATTAATGTTGGTTTTCTTCTTTCTTCTTTGCTCTTGATGAGGAGAGACCCATCGTTGCATCTAGATGGCAGCTTGCTAGCTTTTAAGATCCCAGTCGCTACTCGCCAAAGTAGGAGGTGGAAAGTTTTGTATAGTATATTATCTGGCTCTCACTTCTTTAGGATATGCATCTAATAATGGGCTAGCTAGATCAAATGGTGTTTCTATTTCCAACTTTTTAAGGAGTTGCTATACCGATTTCTACAGTGTGAAATCATTTTACAGTCCCACCATAGTGTATGAGAGTCCCATTTATCTCCACATCCTTGCCAGCATTTGTTATTTTTTGTCTTGATGAACTTTGCTATTAGTGCTGGGGTGAGACAATATTTATTGTTGTTTTGATTTACATCTCTCTAATGACTAATGGTTGCAAACATTACCTGTGTGTTTGTTGGTACCTGAATATCTTCTTTGGTGAAGTGTTTCTTCAAGTCTTCTACCCATTTATTAATTGAGTTGTTTGTCTTTTTAATGTGGAGGTATTGGAGTTTTCTATGAATTGTAGAGATAAGTCTTTTGCCAGATATGTCATTGCCGAATATTTTTTCCCTATCTGTAGGTTCTCTTTTTACTCTTCTGGAGAATCTTTTGATGTACTTAAGAATTTAATTCTTAGAAGGTCCCAATCATCTAGTTTATCTTTTACAGTTGGTACAGTTTGGGTCATGCTTGATAGTCTACTTATGCCATAAATTAGAGCCCCTAAGTAGGAGCTCTGGTAGCATAGTGGCTAAAGCACTTGACTGCTAATCAGAAGGCTGGCGGTTCAAACCCACCAGCCACTCCTCAGAAGGAAGGTTGGGCAATCCTACTTCCATAGTGATACTGCCTCGGAAACCCAAGGAGGGGTTGCTATGAGTTGGGGCTGACTCGACAGCACATAACAACAACAACAACAACAAGTTTGCCTCTGCTTTTTCTTTGATGAACTTTATAGTTTTAGGTTTCACATTTAAGTCTTTGATCCATCTGGAGTTAGCTTTTTTGTATTGTGTGAGGTATGGCTCTTGTTTCATTTTTCTGCAAATGGATATCCAGTTTTGCCAGCACCATTTGTTAAAGACTATCTCTTTCCCATTTAATGGATTTTGTCCTTTTGTCAAAGATCAGCTGACCATAGGTAGATGGATCTATTTCTGGGTTCTCAATTGTATTCCACTGTCATAATGTCTGTTCTTGTACCAATACCAGGCAGTTTTGACTACTGTAGCTGCGTAGTAGGTTTTGACATCTGGAAGTGTGAGACCTCCTACTTTGTTACTCTTCTTCAGTAGTGCTCTGCTTATCTGATATCTCTTTCTTTTCCATATAGAATTAGTGATTGGTTTCTCCATCTCTTTAAAAAATGTTGATGGAATCTGGATCAGGATTGCATTGAATATATAGATTGCTTTGGGTAGTAATGACATTTTCAGTGTTCAATCTTCCTATCCATGAGGATGGTATATTCTTCCATTTATGTAAATAGCTTATAGTTTCTTAAAGTAGTGTTTGTAGTTTTCTTTGTGCAGGTCTTTTTGTTTCTGGTAAGATTTATTCCCAAGTACCTTATCTTTTTGGTAGCTATTGTAAATGGTATTCATTTCTTTATTTTCTTTTCAGCAATCTTTTTGCTGGTATAGAGGAATCCAACTGATTTTTGTTTGTTGATCTTGTATCCTGCCACTATGCTAAATCTTTTAGTAAGTTCCAGTAATTTTCTTGCTGAGTCTCTTGGGCTTTCTATATATAGGACCATATCTTCTGCAAATAGGGATAGTTTGACATCTTCCTTTACAATATGGATGCCTTTTATTTCCCTTTCTTGCCTTATTACCCTGGCTAGGACTTCCCGCACAATGCTGAATAGAAGTGGAGATAGAGGGCATCCTTGTCTGGTTCCTGTTTGCAAGGGGAATGGTTTCAGTCTCTCTCCATTGAGAATAATGTTGGCTGTTGGTTTTGCATATACACCCTTTATTCTGTTGAGGAATTTCCCTTCTATTCCTGTTTTTCTGAGAGTTTTTATCAGGAATGGGTGTTGGATTTTATCAGATGCCTTTTCTGCATCAATTGATATGATCATGTGATTCTTTTCCTTCATGTAATTTATGTGATGGATTGCTTTGATTACTTTTCTAATGTTGAACCTTCCTTACATATCTGGTATGAATCCTACTTGGTCATGATATATTATTTTTTTGATATATTGTTGGAGTCATTTGGCTAGGATTTTGTAGAAGATTTTTGCATCTATATTCATGAGGGATATTGACCTGTGGTTTTCCTTTTTCATGCTGTCTTTGCCTGGTTTTGGTATCAGGGTTATGCTTGTTTTATAAAATGAATTTGGGAGGAACTTGTCCTTTTCTATGTTCTGGAATAGTTTGAGTAGGATTTATGTCAATTCTTCTCTGAATGTTTGGTAGAATTCTCTAATGATACCATCTGGGCTGGGACTTTTTTTGGTTGGTATTTTTTTTATGACCTGTTCAATTTCTTCTTTTGTTAGGAGTCTGTTCAAATTTTCTTCTACCTCAGTCTGTGTTAGTTTAGGTAAGTAGAGTGTTTCTTCTGGGTTTTCAAATTTGGGTGTACACAGTTCTTCATAGTATAGTGATAACTATTCTTTTTAT